TTTTCAATCATTAACACCAAGTGGTATGGGGTCATATTAATGATAGTGTTTATACTCTTAAATGTAGCTTGTTTAACCCTAGAATACCAGCATTAAATTTTCAATCATTAACACCAATGTAATGCTGGTATTCTAGGGTTAAACAAGCTACATTTAAGAGTATAAACACTATCATTAATATGACCCCACCACTTGTTGTTAATGATTGAAAATTTAATGCTGGTATTCTAGGGTTAAACAAGCTACATTTAAGAGTATAAACAATATCATTAATATTGTAAGGTTTTAAGTTATTTTATAACTTGCTACATTGCAGTTATGTCAGGCAAGCAGAGGGTTACCAGATTTCCAGAGTGAAAAACTGGGATTTTTTTTTTGTAACACCTCTGAAACAGTTTAAATTACAATAGCATACTTTTTTGTTTACCATTTGATAAATAATTGATGTTTATTGCATTGCCTTTTAAAACTATAGGTAAAATAATTTGATTGAAGCATATCTAGTTCAAAAAAAATTCAAAATACACCCAGCTTGTCTTACACTTAAAAGACCCTTGGGCAAACTGGAGGGCAAGAAAAATATTTGTGTGGGCAAATGCTCCCCCTGCCAATGTGTACGTATAAAATTGTCATCGAGATACAGAGAAACTGGTATTTTTGAATACTTTTCTGTTTTTTTATTGTGACAAGAAATAGGGCTAAAAACTGGGATGTCTGGTAATGGTTGGCAAGCAGTTAATGGTACTACATATGTTTGACATTGTAATTTTGTCATCAGTTTAATAAAAGTTGACCTCTGTTAGCAAAAGGAAAAAAAAAGTCAATTTTTCAAAAGTGCTCAATTTCTCTGTTTTTTTTTAAGGTGATGCATTCAGTAATAATATCTCATCTTTAAGAACAACCTTTACAACAGTGTAAAGACACCCAAACAGTAGGCCTAAAAACTGTTCTGTTCCAAGTAAGAACAGGACTAAAAGCTTGCTGTTGAAGTAGTTTTTTATGTAATATAAATCTGTTTCTTATCCGTTACCAATAGTGTTGTGTATTTGATATCAGAACCACATAGATTTTGTTTTGTCACGTAATCATTTATATATGTGTTGTAGAGCTACTCATTCTATCCAATAGATGTTGTTGAACATCTTAGAACTTAAATCTGATACATTCAATGAATACATCTACTTCAACATGAACTTATGTAAAGGAAAATCTTTCTCTCAAATCAGCTGTTTATAAATATTCTAAATACAGTAAAACATTGTGTAATTAAGCTATTTCCTTGTGATTATCTTTCGTGTTTCAATATTCGCTGTTTCACAAGAATATGTTTTGGATTTAATTCTTTAATAGATGTACTTGTATGTTTCAGTTTTTGATAAAAAAAATTCTAACTTTTTGTACCTGTTGGTTATACATATATATATATATATATATATATAAATTTTCTTTTTGTTTTCCAATGTTATAAGTAATGACTGTATTGCTCGTGGAATCCATTTAATAATGCTGAAAATATTCCCAGAATCCTTCCTAAGTTTGTTTTTTTATAACAAAAAAGTTTTAGTGAAATTGACATACATATTTCAAAAAAATATTTTCAAACTATGCATATGGGGTTTTATTTCAAATAAGAAAAAACAAGCAATAAGATATATTTCATTTTTTGATTCTTGTTATGAAAATGCCTGTGGAATTTGTAGAATTACCTAAAACTAGCATGAGTAATAAAGAAAATCTATTATTAATTACACAATAGTTCTAATATGTGAGTGTTCACTGCCACATTACTAGTGTACACATTCTTTAGTGGTGTACATAGTTTATAGGGTTTGCTTATAAAAATAACTTTGATTTTTCTGTTATTTACTGTGTAAGGTATCCTATAACTTTCCTTGTTTGAGATCAAATGATTTTAATTTTGTTTATCAGTATTAGCATTGTATCCTGTATGTATATATTTTTTTTCAAATTGTCTGCATTGTTTTCCATTATGTTAAATTTTCATTTCTAAAGAGATGTTATTATCAATAAATTAACATACTTTTTATGTATCCCAATCAGGCATTATTTGTTTATAACTATTCATATGACAGAAGTATTGATTTTGTAAATGTGTTTATCTTCAACACTGTATTTGTAATCCTTTGCCAAAAACTCGGTTTCAGTTCCATATTGATCATTCCCATACCTTTTGATGAGTTAGGTTGTAGTTGCTGTATTTAAAAAAAGAATAGTGCTTTTGCTGTTTATTTAAAACTTATTTGCATCTAATAGTATGCATCTTTGAAAGACATGAAACTTTAAAAAAATCAATACTATTTTTGTTTACACTTTGAGTTCAAGTCGACTCCATTTCAATACTGTTGTATAAGTAGGTTTTTTTAAAGACCTTTAAATATATAACACAGTCATTACAAATTAACTGAATAATTCCATGGAGGATTCATGAAAGAACTGTGGAATATATAACTTTTGGTTCTGTCAAAACATTACATAAGCTAATTTTTTTGTTTCGCCTGAACTAACTTGAAAAATATAACTCGTCATCACACATCAGCGGAATAATTCAGTGAAACAGTCATGTGATAATTGTGGAATACATAATTTTTGGTACTGCCAAAATATTGTTTAAAGTACTTTTTTTGTATCAGTGTGAACTCGGGTTATATTTTTCAAGAACCCATATTTGTAATCATTTCATTTGGTTGATCTGATGTACAAAGGTGTTTCACTGGCTTCCAATTATCTTATTAAAAATCAGAGAAGTTGCAATGGCCAAAAAACAACTAGCCTAAATGTAACCTAAATATAAAGAAGCTATACCAGAAATTATACATTCCTCAGTTACTGCACGGAAATATTCAGCTGACGTGTGATGATGGTTTTAGCAAGTTATTTTCCCTGTGAAAAAAAGTTTAATAACAGAATACAAACTAAATAAACGTGTTAGCGAGGTTGTGTAGTGTAGTGTTTTAATTAGAAATTTCTGTGTGTGGGCTTTCATTTCCAT